TCAAAAGTCCGGAGGTGGATCTGTGCTGGTTGGGAGTTAAAAGGCCGTTTAAATGTTTGGAACTTACATAACACAGAGACTCAGAGCTGGAAAAAGCAGGAATTCCCTCATTTGTGATCCGCTATATTAAATTACAGCAGTGAGACAATGAGCAGCGAATTAAGGAATTAAGAACCACAAGCAGAAATATTCACATTCAGGAGGGACAGAAAGATTTTAAACAAAAGTCTAAAAAACCAAGAGGTCCAAGAGTACAAAAACCACCTGGTTAGGAATTTAAAAACAGGTTAGCTTTCACTTAGATACGCACAAAAAAGGATTTTGCTATAACCTCAGAGTAATAAATACAACCTAGGTAAAATTACTTTCAAAGTGTTATTTAACACATTCCCTGCCTTGTTAGGAAGAATCACACTTGTTCTAATTTGCAGTCTAAAGATATCACACTATAAAAATGTATAAAAATTCCAAAAATGAATTGCTCTAACACACAGGATTGTTGTGTTACAGTGAACCCTCGCTGTATCGCGGTTTACCTTTCACGGATTTGCATCGTGGTTTGTGTTCTGCATTCTTATTGGCTAAACAGCTTCTTCTCTACCTGCTTGCTAAATTTAAGTTTGCCAATTCTCTTGCAATTTCAAGTTTCTCCAAAACCTGTAATGTTGACCAAACGTTCTGCTCTGACAAAGGCCCGAAAGGCAGATGAAGAAGCTAACTATCGCTAACTATCAAACCTCTGGACATGCTAAAGGAAGGGAGAAGCCAACGGCTTTAGGTCGCCATTACAGGATTAATGAATCTTCTGTTCGCTCCATAAAGAAGGAAAATAACAGGACTAGTTTTAATAAGGATAAGGAAGCCTTCAGTTTGTATTGATGATTAAAATGATTATTTTACAGAACAGTAGTTATTTATTAAAAATTAAAATAAAACATTTATACAGTACTTTCAATTGTTAAACAAATGCTTGTGCCTGTAAAAAGGTTTTGTTCTTTGGTTTAAATGTATTATGGAGCATTTCATTTTTTAATAATTGTAAAAAAATAAAGATAAGTAATTCACGGATTTCGCCTGTCACGGGTTCTTTACTAATACTATACTAAATACTATGATATTATAATAATCCCAGAGGGAAATCATTTTTGCCTGTACTTCAAAGTAAAGATCCAAAAGTAGAATAAATCACTTTGGAAGTTTTCCACATCCCATTCCATGACTTCACAACCAAAATCTAATTTGTTCTAACTGTTGTAAAAAGGTGGTCAAACGACTTCTAAACAGCCTTAGAGCTCATTACTGACCAAGGCAAGGAAGTTTTTCCCTCCCTGTGTCGCCTAGTGCTTGCTCATGGTGGGAATTGTTGGGTTTCTGTAATTAACTTCAGAGTATAGTCTGACCTGCTCTGTTTGGAAAGCTGGGAGATAATTGTAGTTGTGATGTGGCGCTAAATACAGGACTGTCTCAGAAAATTAGCTGAAGAAAACTCAAAAATCCGATATTCTAATATTTTGAGATAGGATATTTGGGTTTCTTAAGCTGTACGCCATAATCAGCGATATTAAAACAATAAAAGGCTTTCGATATTTCAGTTGATTTGTAATGAATCCAGAATGTATGACATTTCATGTTTTTTAATTGCATTACAGAAAATAAAGAACTTTATCACAATATTCAAATTTTCTGAGACAGTCCTGTAAATAAAATTGAATTCAATTAAATTGAATTTCTGGACAGAAGCCAGAGGCAGTGGGTCTGAGCTGTTTGGGGCTCCGTAAACGCAGGAGTTGGCTCAGTTTTTCTGTTCAGTTTTCTGCGTTCAGGCGTGAGTTCACACAACGCCGGAGGGGGGGAATTATCTGTTTACATCTACTACGAAACACCGAAGCTGGAACTGATAAGAAAGGTCGTTCTGAGAGCGAGGAGCCTCTGTTGTTTTTGGCCTCACTTCAATGGCAGCAAGTCAAACCAACCACACACAAAGAGGCCTTTGAAGAAATGCTGAACTCAAAACAACGACAAGGGAGGCAGCTAATGCGGGCGCCGTTCTAACAGGTGGCAGCAGGAAAACCCAGATCGTTTGGAGAGGAAATTTGACATTTACAGTGGGGGAAATAAGTATTTGACCCCTTGCTGATTTTGCAGGTTT